AGAAGCAAAAGATAATAATAATATAGTAAGAATAAAAATAAATATTAAAATATGTATTAAATGAACATATTTTTTTACCGCCCATAAAGGGTGAAAAAAAAATAAAATAAGAAATGATATTTAAATTCTTATTACTAATTTGTCATTAATTACTTATGATTATTGTTATCATCGTTTAGCTATCATTGCTAAGTTTTCAGCATTGAAACTTTTGGAAGGTGGTGGACGACGTGGTGACATGGATTCGAAATATCGTGAAGTAGTATGGAAATTAGAGGAACGTGGTCAGATGGGTGAAAATCTTGTCGGTTTATGCTTATTACAAGGAACACCAATACACAATCATTTAGCTCGTCATTTAATTAAATTATATCCAAAACTTGTCAACGATATTTTTATCAGTGAAAATTATTACGGTATGATTACATTAAGTTGATACTGTATGATGATATTGATAAAATTATCTATTAATTTTTATTTTTTAGATGTTCATTTTATCATTAATTAAAAGCTTATTAAATAAATTACAGTTTTAATTTTTATTATTTATCATATAATAACAATGTTATTGCTTAAAATATTTGAAAAGATTAGCAATCATTTGATGGAAAATTTAAAAGATGTTAAGAATAATAAAAAAAAAAACGATAAAATAATTTTATACAAATATAATTAAAATTATAATTAATCCAAAAAATTTAAAAAATTTATAATTAATCTGATAATTAAGTAATGAAATTTTAAAAATATTTAATATAACAAATTAAATTTAATTACTTGCAAGTGTTAAATTTGTTTTCTTTTTTTTTTTGTATAATTTCCTGATAAATGATTATAGGATTATCACCATTACATCAAGCTATAATAAATGAAGATCCGGCAATGGTCAGTTTTCTATTGCAATATGGTGCAAATATTAATCAACGCTGTTATGGTGCATCATTCTGTCCGGATGATCAAAAAAGTAGCCGGACTGATTCGTTGGAACATGAATATGTAGAACTTAGCTTAAAAACATGCTATTCCGGGTTAGCCAATATTTATTTCAAAAAATATCAGGAATGTTTCTTTTTTTTCTCTTTACGATTTGTCATAATCATCATCAATATCACCATTGTCATCATCATCATCATCATCATCATCATCATCATCATCATCATCATCATCATCATACATCATCATCATCATCATACATCATCAT